AAACGAGCTGCCTCCAAGACGGCTGCAGCGCCAACGCCCGCGCCCACGGCTTCTGCGCCAAACACCTCTCGACAGACCACAAGTCGCTCTGCACCGAGCCGGGGTGCGGCAGCTTTGCGCGCACCAAGGGTCGCTGTGTGCGGCACGGCGGCGGCCGACCGTGCTCCGTGCGCGGGTGCAAGTCCCATGCCCGCAGTGGTGGCTACTGCCACCGCCACGCTGCCCAACGCACAATGGCGCCGACGCCGACGTCGTCCCCAAAGCTGCCGAGCGGCGCGACTCGAATGCACTGCGAAAGCATCGAGATCATCGACGACGATGCGTGGATGGACGATGGTATCCTCGAACTTATTCTCGCCGTCGCGACCTTTGTCAACCCGGCACCACCGACAACAATAGAAATTTAGCCATAAAATGTAGCGGCACTCTTGTACTCTTAGTAGCATAGTCGTATCGAAGCCGGGGATTATATAACGAAACCGAACAATAGCAACGTCTTTGCCTCGTCCTACTAGCATTTGACATACTCTACAACTCGTTCTAATAGCTGGACCACACCTTGATGCTAATTCTTGATGCTAGGTATGACGCCACTTTGGGTGCTCGCGTTTCGAGAGATACGACACCGTGAACGACACCACTTCCGATCAACGGTGCCATAGCCACGCACTGGGTGTACGAGCAAGCATGGTGGACTGGATTGGTCTCGTCTTTACTCGGGTGCAAGGTGGGATTCCTTGACTAAACTGGCTGACGCGCACGGTCGAAGAGACGACATCCGACGGCGGCCGCGATGGGTGCGATGCAAATACCAAGACGATGGATGCTCGCGGGTTGGATTACTATGGCGAGGACGCAACACGACGGTCCCTGCGAGCCGCCAGCTGCCGAGCGCAACGGACGTCGGACGGGCCGCCTAGACAGGCGCACATCGTATGACCGACGCCTGATCAGGCTCCGTGCACAACTCAGCACCGCCTTTCCATTGAAATTTTGCGCGGCCGTCCGCGGCGTGTCATGCATAGTCTATCCGCCTCTGGCCCGTAGCTCTTGCCAAGCAAGGCAATCGATGCAGAATTCAGTAGCTTCATTTCACGGCTTTGCAGCAACCAAAACACCCCATGCGCCCTAAAAAAGCCAACCGCGGAGCACTCCGTGGAGGAAATGACGGACGCACTCAACGTTTGCCACAAGATGTCCAATGAGCCGACGCGTCCAAACGAGGTAGCCGCAAGGACAGCAGCGCGCACTGTACGTGACGCGCTGTTGAGCCGCTTGCGTACAGTATCTTCGTCGTCGCTATATGTTTGCCAGTGAAGAGCTTTCCAATCGTCGACCATCACATCGCGACAAGAGCAGCCTACGGACTACGGCAGTACCGAGAGGGCTCCTGGCGTCCAGCGACGAAGACGACACATCCAACGTGATCACGGGGAGAACTGTGGTTAGCAGACTTCCAGCAAGTGAGACGACGTATGCAAATTCCGGTATTTGAACCGTAACTTCAAAAGAAATACAAAAATGACCATTGTAGCCAATCAGACGCTCTCTAGTGCGCTCCAGTATATTGGTTTGAGTATGTTGCGAAATTAAAAACGCAAATGCCCGAAATACCGGAATGTGGGGTAAATACGCGAAAGAGAGGCGTATACAGTAATCGTCGCTTGGCCACCGTGGTGAGTGATCAAGCAGCGGGTATGATGAACGCTGCACGCGGGACTAGTCCACAGAAACAACGTGATAACGTGAATATGACGATCACCACCTGGTGCGAAACGCCGAGCCGCTTTTGCGGTGTCTTCGGACCAGTATAACGTGCAAAAATGATCCGTGGACACTCTGCCGATGCCTGTAGCATCCCGTTCACTCTCTATTGCGATTTATGATTATGGATGGATGCTGATTAACCCTTTAACGCGAGAATGCTGGGGAGTACTAGTATTGTCTGCACACCTTTGGTGAAGCACGGAGCAGAGTGAACGCTGCGATGGCACGATGGCTAGCTCTTTCGGATAAATTAACTCTTTCGGAGGCTGGTCCACGCCCATAAAAATCAGCCCGGCGAGATTGGACCGGGGCCAACCGTCTAAACCAAATCAATGGCGAACAAACAAGAAGCACATTTGTAGCAGCGTGCAATTGACAGATATTGATTGACATTGACAAGATGAAACTGCGCTGCAAGCATGGATGATGATGGGTCGACGACGGCGAAACGGCTTAGATCAGCGTGCACTTGCCCGGGTTCTGGCGGCACCAGAGCGGGTGCACGCCGTCCGCGTTGATGCCGGCGTCCGCAATGCGGTCGCGCTGGATGCGCATGCGGCTCATCGCGTTCTTCCAGTTGGTCTTGGGGTTGGTCCAGAGACGCTCGGCGAGCGCGGCGGCGCGGGGCCAGATCTTGGCTTCCACAGCGCGGTCGCCGGCGATCTCGGACCACATGACGACCTCGGAGCCGAGCATGAGCTTGGCGCTGGCTTCCGTGAGGTTGGCGCGCACGTCGAGGTCGTAAATCACCTGCCACGACTTGTACGGCGCGCACCAGCCGTTGCCCTTGGAGACCCAGCCGCCAAAGCCGCAGTCCAAGTAGTGGGTGTCGTAGTAACTCGCAACGACCGAGAAGCCCTTGGACGTGAGGCGCGCGGCGTCACCGTCCGTGGCGGCGCCCCAGAGCTGCACGATCGTGTTCTTGGGCTTGAAGTATTTGAGGTACGAGTCCGTCGTGAGGTCGCTCGTCCACACCATGATCTTCTTGTTGGCCTTCTCCACATACTCGCCGGCCTTGAGCTGGAAGTCGCCCCAGAGTTCAAAGAACGGCGCGTTCGTGCTCGTGTCCTTGATGTGGTCCGTGATCGTCTTGGTCGAGTTCCAGCACGCCACCGAGACTTCGTCGCCGCCCATGTGGAAGACTTCGTCGTCAAAGATGCTGTGGAGCTCGGCAAAGACCCTATCCACATGGTACAAAACATCAGGTGACGGTTTCAAGCATCGCCGTACGTTTTCAGAATGTCGTAGACGTGCGCGTTGAGCGGGTTGAGCTGACCGCACGGCGGTTGGACGCAGTAGTTCATCCACGGGTCCGAGCCATAGCAGAGCGTGAGCTCGCCGTAGCCAGCCTTGGGGCCCCACTGCCAGCCGGCACCGGCATGCGACGGCACGTCGAGCTCCGGGATGATGCGCACACCACGCGACTTGGCAAACTGCACCAGCTCTCGGACCTGATCGAGCGTGTAGATCTGGTCACGGCTGTACGCGCCATACATCGTCAGGCGCGGCTCGCTTGTGAGCTCCATCGGGAAGCTCCCCGAGTCGGAAAAGTGCCAATGGAACGTGTTGAGCTTGTTGGCCGCCATCGTGTCGATGAGGCGGCGGAGCGACTCGATCGAAAAGTAGTTGCGCGACGTATCGAGCACGATGCCGCGGTGGCTGTACGCCGGCTTGTCCTTGATGCTGACCTTGTTGACGATCTTGACCGAGTCGGAAATGTCGTCGTAATCAATCAACTGGTTGAGCGTCGTGAGCGCGTGGCGGTAGCCATACACCGTCGCCGCATTGATCTTGACCTTGGGTCCATCGATCGAGAGCTCGTACGACTCGTCTGTCTCGGTCGAGAGCGCCTCAGTCGACGACGCGATCGTCGCCGTGATGACGAGCCCTTCGCCGCGGCCAATCGACTCGGTCGACGCGCCGGCCGTGCGGCCCTTGGCCAGCACCGATTCGGTGAACGCCTTGCCAATCGCACCCGTGAGACGCGACGCCGACTCGGCGCCGTTGATCTGCACCGAGACAGCGTTGAGGTTGATGGCTTGGACCGCCGACCCGAGCGAGATGGTCGACGGGTACGGCCAGAGGCTGCCGGCACCGCACGTCATTTCGCACATGCGGAGGCCAAGGGCGCCGGGGGTGACGCCACGTTCGGCAATTGGCGACTGGACGCAAATGCCGTCAACGCACTTGTACGTGTGCTTGGGGATCTCGAGCGCGGTCGCGAGACCGGCAACAGCAAGGAGCGAGGCGTAAATCTTCATGGCTTGCTTGTGTCGAGCGAATGAAATTGAAATGTGAGCTCAGCACCAAACTCTGGCCGACCAACTTCAACGGTTGCCATTCGGGTGGCTTTTCTGGGAACCCGTCTCGCAGGTACGCCAAGATATGGTGCCATCAAGAACAAACACCCGGTTCGAATCCCATCTGCATTGAAGTTGGCACGTACACCCGTGGACGCGGCGTCACCGTACGACGGTATGCCACCGCTTCGGCACTGTCGCCCACCACGCAGTACATTCCGTATAGATAGGGTATCGACAAGGACTTGCGGCCTTGCCGTCAGCCGGAATGCATCGCTTGAAGCGGTGCCAACGTGCTTGTTTTGCTAGCTGCAGGTTGACTGTCGTTTTGGCTTTCGAAAACGCAGTGCGCTGGTATTACCGTACGCACAATCATCTGACGCGGCTCGTCTGAGTTGGTTCACATCGTCCATCAACGTGCACCTCTCGTGGTTCGCCGACAACGCTTCTCGGTTGCCGCCAAAACATACGGGGACCTAGAGTGGACGCGTGACGCGTGCGGTGGCCCACCGATGGTTTGGCCATTGATTGTTTCTTCAGTGCGACGAGATAATACCATGGTGTTGCCAGCTCGACCAGGCGTCCTCCGAGTGACAGACTATGATGTCCCAAGTCTAACTAGCTACTACGTTGATTCCGACTCGTAAAGACGATGTTGGCGTTGAAATCGGAATTTGAAGCAGAGATAGCAAATCGGTTCTACCACCAACTGTTACCACACCACAGGTTCAAGCGCCGTGGGTCGTCTGATAGAGTCTGATCGTGGGCGTCGCGTTGCCAGCGTTGGATGTCGACGGCCGCCATCTTGCAACGCTAGTGTGGCTACATTGCCAGATGAAGATACTCGTTCTCAGGGACACGTTGAAGGATCGCGGTGGCGACTTCCTTGGACGCACCCCGTCATCGCACATCTCTTGGCATCTAATCCTGGTCGGTTGCTACGACGCCGGGTATCCGATCACCTTTGCTCTCATAGCAGGCTCTTTGCCACACCATCACAGCCGGCAACGAGAAGGACGCAACGCTGTTTCAGGCAATCATCCACATGATATATAGCGCAAGGTGATGCGACTTATGGGAGGAGAGTGCACTCGCCCGGGTGGAGACGGCACCAATGCGGCTGGATCGCGTCGGCTTGCAGCCCCATCTCGACGAGGCGGTCACGCTGGATGCGAAGGCGGTCGATCGCGTCCTTCCACGTCGTGCCGTTTCTCGGGTTGGTCCACCAGCGCTCGGCCGCGGCCGCCGCGCGTGGCCAGATCTTAGCGTCCATGGTCGCCTCGTCGACTTCTTCCGACCAAAGCGCGACTACACACGACACTTGTACCTATATCATAAGACGGAAGGCGCGCACCTTCGCCTCCGAGCACGAGCCGCCGCTGGGCGACTGGCACGTGCTTGACCAGATCCAGGTCGTAGAGCACACTCCAGTGGTGGTACGGATGGCACCAGTCGGCGCCTTTTGTGAGCCAGTTGCCAAAACCGCAGTCCAGATAGTACGCGTCATAGTAGGATGCAATGACTTCGTAGCCTTGGGCGGTCAGCTTGGCCGCGTCGCCTGCGTTCGAGAGCGTCCACATCTGAACGATTGTGTTGCTAGGCTCAAAGTACGAGCGCAGATACGGGGCGTTGGTGAGGTCGCTTGTCCAGATAGCAATCTTCTTTTGTGCGTCGACCAGCGACCGAGCTCGTGTCTGGAACGCACCCCAGATGTGGTAAAAGGCGTCCGGCGACCGATCTGAGCTCATGTGGTCCGTGATGGCCTTTGTCATGTTCCAGCAGCCGAGATGCACTTCATCGCCGCCCATGTGAAACACGTCGGCATCAAAGAGCCCGTGGAGCTCCGAGTAGACCCTACCCCCAACCGTCAACACAGTTTCAAACGCTCTGTGGCCGTACGTTTTCAGAATGTCGTAGACGTGGTCGTTGAACGGGTTGAGCTGGCCGCACGGCGGCTCCACGCAGGCGTCGTACCACGGATTGTGGCCAAAGCAAACACCGAGTTCGCCAAGGCCGGCGTCGACGCCCCACTGCCACCCCGCGCCGGCATGCGACGGCGCGTCGACTTCTGGAATCACGCGCACACCGCGGGCTTTGGCTAGACGCACGCAACATTACCGCACGCCAGTCATCCACGCAGACGCACCGTAGGCGACGAGCCCGCGGATGGCGGTCTGCGTGTAAATTTGGCGCGGGTGGTGGGCGCCAAACGAGGTGAGCCGCGGCTCCCCTATCACCCGCTCGTAAGGCACGCCATGCAAAGGAAGGTCCGTACCCTTGATCTCGACCGGGAAGCTTGCCGTGTCGGTGAAGTGCCAATGGAACGAGTTGAGCTTCGTCGCCCCCATACCGTCGAGGAGCCGGCGAATCGCAGCCACCGAGTAGTACTGCCGGCTCGTGTCCAGCACAACGCCGCGGTGGCGATATGCGGGTCCATCAATGATGCTCGCGCCCGACGCCATGTGCATCGTGTGCGACAGCTCGTCGTACTCAACGAGCTGCGTGAGCGTCACGAGTGCGTGGCGGTAGCCATAAATCGTAGCCGCCGTGATCGACGCCGTGCCATTGGCAATGTGCAGTGTATACGACTCGTCTGTCTCGAGCGATAGCGTCTACGCGGTGTACGTGCAGCCATGGCACTCTCAACCAAAGCGAGGCCGTGTACCTCGGACGCAGAGGCGATCGCTGCGGTAACGACGAGCTCGATGCCGTCGACTGCCACGAGCGCGCACTCGGTGGCCTTGAGCGCGAGCGTGTTGTCAAAGATGTGCTGCATGCTGCGCACGAGGTGCGCCGCGTCACCTACTCCAAACGACACGTTGTGCTGGACGTCATCGACGCTCACGATCGTCGTCGTCGCCGCAATCGCCGCGGATGTGGGCTGCGGCCAGAGGTTCCCGGCGCCGCATGTCATTTCGCAGAGACGGAGACTCGTGTGGCCTGCTTGCGGCGTCAGCGTGCGCGGCTGGGGCACGCACCGCCGATCGTCGCAGGCGTACGTCGTATAGGGCACCTGGAGCGCGGCGCCGAGGCTGCTCAGCATCGCCACCGCCAGGATGCGCATCATGCTTTCGACGCCAATTGAGATCTTGACGTTGCCTTTTCCCCCGATTTTTAGCCAATGGCATTGCGTGCCCAGCATCAACATGCCACCTTACAAGCAGCAGTAGCGAGATAGGGGCACCGAGTCGGCCTCTCGTAGCATCGGCCTCTTTACTGCGTTTTCCACATACACTACTGCCCCTACTACTGCTACTAGCCCGCCCTTGCAGCACCATGACAGCTCTGCGCATGGCGGTGTGCGGCTCTGGCTGCGGCTAGGGTTGCAGCACCCATTCGCCTGTCTGTCGACGCCACCCATCTCAAGATGCGCAACAAGAATGCTAACGTTAAAAGAGCTGGTTGATAGGGATTCGATTCGATACCGACGGCGAGCTTCCACGGCCACGTCGGCATAAGCTCTTAGCGTTGCCTCGACGTTGACGCGGACAAAGTCGACTTCAAAACACCACTATATACTCGTGTTCTTACGTTGTGGGATAAATAGGCTACTAGATCGGTGCATCATAGCAGGATAAGGACCGCGGTCATGTTGTCGACGGCCCGCTTGAGGCGGCAGACCTCGAGGAGCTCGCGGCAGACGTCGTCGGGATGCAGGTCGCACTCGAGCAGCCCGCGTCGCACGTAGCGGACCATGTCGTCGTCGGTCAAGACATCGGTGACACCGTCGCTTACGAGCAGCAGAAAGGCCGCGGTTCGATCCCGCGGCCGCGCGACGCAGGCCACATGCGGCGTCGGGATTATGAGCTCTTTTTCGTTGTTTTGGCCAAAGGCTCGCGTGACGCGGCTCACACCGCTCACGCGGTGGTTCAAGATGATGCCTTGCTGGTGCTTGATGCGGTCGATCTCGGCGTCGTTGCGCACGTGGTGGTCAGCGGAAAGCCGCGTGGTCCGCAGCCCGTCAAAGAAGATGCAGTGCGAGTCGCCGCTGTTGGCCACGTAGCACTCGGTCGGCAGCACGACACAGACGACGGCCGTGGACCCGCACGCATCGGCCTCTTCCATTTCTTCCAGGCCCGTGTCGACGGCGGCAAAGCTCTCGCAAAGCACATTGGGCACACTCGCGCTGGGGTCGGCGAGGAAGCGCGACTGGACAGTTGCATGGAGGTTGCGGGCGAGGTGCTTGGAGACAAAGCCACCGCCATGGCCGTCGTAGACACCAAAGAACGCACCGCGCTCACCACCGGGGCCAACGATCGACGGCAGCAGCACGCACTCGTCCTCCATGCTCGCCTTGAGCTGCTTGTTCTGAAACGCAGCCGCGCCAAACGCGAGGTGGCTCACGCGGGATGCGCGCATGGCCTGGATTGCAATCATGTCTTCCTTCTCGAGGTACCTCGCATCCTGCCGGGCCGGGTCGCGTGGCGAGAGGAGGCTCACGAGCTCGGTTGGTGGCGGCGGCTGGTCCGTCGACGCGCGCACGGTCTTGAAGCTGGACGAAGCCACCGAGCCGGTGCTCGACGTCATCTTCTTGGCGGGTCGCCGCATGGTGGACGACGCCTGCCAGCGCTCCGTCGGCGCGGCCTTGGACACCTCGGACAAGCACGCGCCCATGGCAATTGGCACGAGCGACGCATGGCTCACAGCAACTTGATTCTTTTTCTGACTCCTTCCGACTGCAACTCCATATGGTGGCATGTGCCGGGTCTAAAATCACCGCACTCCAAATACGCCACTTCTAAGCGCCAACGTGCCGCATTCAAGGCGCGCCGTGCCGAATTAGAGTGGATGACGCCACGCCAGCATGGACATGAACATCCATCACGAAGGCAAGTGTCCTCGATGGTACTTCGGTCGACGACAGAGAGGACTGATATTGTCGGTGGAATATGTAAATCGGAAACGAACCGAGATAATATATATTAGCAATAAACAGGATTAGCAGTGCTTCCTTGGGCCACTGCAGGCGGCCACGCCGTCCGCCATCAACGACCGACAGCAGCGTGGTACCGTACCTTGTCAGTAATAATAGCTGCAGCCCAGTACGTCGTCCTCCGTAGCATTTCATAGAGCACCGAGGCGCACCCACCGCATACTCCTACAACGTCTGCACTCCCCCGCGGCGGGAAATTTGAAGTGGCACATGCCGCAACGAGCGTGAATCCAGTTGATGCACCCGTGGCAAGCCTCGTCTGTCAATCACTCGAGTCCCGTCACAACAACTAACATCGATTTAGAACTAACTACTAGTACACTAGTACTCGTCAAGTCAACTGCACGGGGAAAGGACGCAGGTTCTTCTTATGAATCTTCTTAGATATATACACACGCCACATGGCCATTACTCGTCGTCCGTCTTGAGCTTCTTGGGCGCGGCCTCGCCGTCGTCGTCCATGTCCTCGTCCTCGTCCGCGTCTTCGTCGTCGTCGGCCGTCGGCGCCGGTCGCTTCTTGCTCGTCGGCACGTCGTCGGCCATGTCTTCGTCGTCGTCGCCGGCCGTCGAGTCGGCGTCGTTGCCGCTCTCGTCGTCCATCATATCGTCATCTTCCTCCGTCTTGATGGGGCTCGTGGGCACGGGCGTTGCGACTGGCGTCTCGGGCGGCGACGAGTCCTCTTCGTTCGTACCGTCGTCCTGCTTGTCGCCATCCACCATATTACCGAGGTACTCGAGCGACAGCGTCGGCTCGACGAGCCACTTGTTGGGCTCGGCCTTGGTCCGGGGCGACGGCGCCCAGAGGTGCGACGCGCTGCTGGCTTCCGCGCTCGTCTTCTTCTCGAGCGGCGTGCGGCGGAGCACGCCCGAGTGGAACTTGAGGCAGTAGGCGCCTTCGCCGTCGCGCTCGTAAATTCCCTTGGCCTGCGTAAAGTACGCCTCGTTCGACGCGTGCGCGTTCGCAAAGAGCGACTGGAGCTCCGAGCACGTCTCGTCGTTGGCCATGTGCTGCATCTGCTTGAGCAAGTGCTGCACGAGCTTGTCGAGCGTAAACAAAAAGTACGAGCTCGACCCCATGAGGCTCCGGCAGCAGTCTTCGAAGCGCGTATTGTCGATCGAGTTGTCGAGGAGCGCGTAGAGCTTGGAGAGAAACGCAGAGTAGTCGCCCGTCATCTCGGGCGCCTCGTTCTGGAGGTGGTGCGCGTGGGCCAGCGCCCGCGCCGCCGGGTTGATCGTGCGGCGGTTGCGGTTGCGCTTCGCCTTCTCGCAGAGCTCCCGCGCTTGCTCGAGGCGCGAGTGCAAAAGCTGGTACAGCCGAAGAAACACATACGCCGTGTCGTTGCCGTAAAACACCGACGACGCCGCGTCCAAGTTCTCAGCCTCGTCGGCCACGCCAATGTTGGGCGGAAAGTCGCCGACCTCCGTGACGCTCAGCGCGTCACTGTGCACATACGCCGTGCCAATCGGAAGCGTCACGGTCGCAATGCTGCGCGCCTAGCAGTGTATGAGCCAATGGCAACACACAAGACACGGCGTACCGCGTCAAAGGCCTGGACGACGCCTTCGCCAAAGTCCGTGACGACCTCGGTGCCGACGCGGACGCCGTTCGTCGAGTCGACCGTCACGTTGGCCAGCACGGGCTTGCGCTAGTACCATCAACCATGAGCCGCCCATCTATCAAGGTGTCAAGTAGCTACCTGGAGCCACGCCTCGTCGAGGTGGAAGAACGGGCAGAAGAACGAATGCCACAGCTTCGAGACCTTCTCCTTCTCCGAGACCGAGAGGTTCTTCTCAGCCGCGTACGTGAGCAGGCCAAACGCGTCCTTGTGGATCTTGGCGGCCGGCATCGTCAGCGCCTCGACCGTCTTGGTCTCGAGCGTCTTCTTGGCATGAGCGAGCAACGCCTTGGCGCTCGTGGCCTTCTTGTCCTTTTGCTTAAAGTAGAACGACGAGTGGTCGAGCGACTTGTGGTAGTTCTTCTCGTTCACGTCCTTCCACTGCTTGTTGAGGTCCTGCCGCGCACGGCGCCACTCTTCGTCCTTCTGCAGCAGGCGCTTGAGAATCACCGGAATTGCACCGGCCGGGTGCTTGCGGAGCAGCTCGAGAATTTGGTGCCCGGCCTCGCCGTAAATGCGCGTGATCGCGTTGAGGTGCGTCACGCGCAGCGCGCCCTTGTCGAGCACGTACTGCCAGCCGGTCGGTGACGTGGCCGCAAGCGTCTCAATCTCCTTTGCGAGCGGCGTCAAGATCGCAATCGTCGACGCGTTCGCGTCAATGACCATATCGATCTCGAACCGCTCGTCTTCGCACTTGAAGAGCGCTTCTTCGTACTGGTTCTTGCGCATGTTCTTGAACGAAAAGTCCTCCGAGCCCGTCGGGACGCTCACCCACGCGTCGTTGCAGACTGCGCGCTCCATCTTGGACCGCGACGACGACGGCGGGATCGGGTAGCTCGACGGCAGCGCGCGGTAGCTCGGCGTCGCGCGCCGGCACTGGCTCAAGTCCGTCTCGGCGAGCGGAATGAACGGCCAAATCTCGTGCTGGTCCTTGACTTCGCCGTGCGTGTGGAGGAGCTGCGTAAACTCGGCCACCACGTCGGTATGGCGCCCGAGGAGGTTCTTGACGAGCACAATCATGTCGTCGCGGCCGACAATCTCTTGGCTGTAGAGCTCGAGACACTTGAGAAACTCGCGCCAGTTGTCGCGCGACGGCAAGCATTTCTTGATCTTTTCAAAGATGCTCCACTCCTCCTTGTCGATGAGCGTGTTGCTGACTGCGAGGAGCTCGCGACGCTCCTTGGCGTCGCCCTTGTTGGCCTGCTTGCGCTTGAGTGCGTACGCGGCCTTGTTGCGGTCGCGCGCGCTGTCCTTCTCTTTCGGCTTGGTGCTCTCGGGCTTCTTCGGGCTTGCGACTTGCGGCGGCGACTCCTTTTTGTCCTTCTTCTTGCCCACTTTCTTCTCCTTGCCCGACGTCATTTGGAGCTTGAGCTGGCGCGCCTGCGCCCGCTCGGCTGCCTTGTGCAGCCGGTCGCGCGCTTGGTCTTGGACCGCGTCCGGGAGGAAGAACGTAAATTCGCGCAGCAAGTCGGGGTGGTCGCGGAAGAGGTAGCTCACTTGGTCGAGCACTTGCTTGATCGACCCTTGCTCCTTCTGGTACGTGTGCAGGATCTCCAGAAACGCCTTGTACGTCTCGGGCTCGTCCGCAAAGCGCTTCTTGATCGTCGTCACGTACGAGATCGCGTGGTCAAACTCGACCGGCTGCGGCGGCGCGGGCGCCGGCGTGGCCGGGGCGCCCCCGCGCTTGGCCGGCACCGCCTTCTTGGCAGCGTCCGTGAGGCGGTGCGACGGCGTCGTGTTGGCGGCCGACGGCACGGGCGCCACGAGCATTTGGTCGGTATTGCTCGCGGAATTGCCGCCAGGAATGTTGACGGGCGGCGGTCGAATGCCCAAGTTGGAGAGCGGCGCGTTGCTCGACTGCGTCGGCGGGTTGATCGACGGCAGCGACGACGCGGGGCCGTTGCCGGTGGCCGATGGCGCCGGACGCAGCACGAGGCCGCCCATCGGCGCGGGGTTGCCGTCGTTGCCGGGCGGCGCGCTAAAGCCACGGTCGCGCGGGTCCGCCGAGTAGAGACCGAGGTGCTCGGGGCGGATGCGGTAGCCCGGCGGCAAGAACGTGTTGAAGCCAAAGATCAAGTTGGGGTGGCCCTTGAAGAGCTCCGAGACGCGCTGGATGACGCCCGGCGTGTCAATGCTACAGTCAAGCATCAGGAGCAGCTTAGGAGGATCGAGGCGCGTACGTCTGCGACTTGAACTCCTTCATAACGTCCAAAAACTGGTTGTACACGTCGGGCTGGTCCCCAAACTGCTGCTTGACCTACGCATGTCCGTGGCCATGAGGCGGGGTCCATAAATACGCGACGGTGTACCTGGTCCAAGTAGAGCAAGGCGTCCTCGACGCGGAGCTCTCGGAGCGGCCGCGGTGGACCCTGAGCATTGTTGGGTGGCTGCTGGGGCGCTTGGTTCGCAGGCGGCGGCGGCTGCGTCGGCGGACCACCCGGCACAGGGCGCGCAAGGCCTGGAAAGTAGTTGTACGGCTGTCCGTCGCGGTCCGACGGCGGGTGGAGCATTGGCTGCGTCGCGAACGGCGGCGGGGGAAGCCCACGGCGCTGGTTCGCCTGCGGCGGCATCGCCGCCATGATGTGATGAGGCTGTGCCTGCGGCTGGTTGCGAGGAAGAGGCAGCGGGTGATGCAGCGGGTGCTGGTGTGCGTGCGGATGCGCGCCGTGCAGAGGATGCGCAGGCGTATGGTTCTGGCCCATGTTGCCGGCCATGCCATGGCCCATGAGCGACGGACCGCTTTGGAGGCTCGCGACCGATTGGTTCGTCGGCGCGTTCGTGTTGGACCCTGCGCTGGAGGCGCCATTGCCGTCGTTGCGCGGAATCGAGATCGCAGTGCCATTGTTGGTCGCGCTCGCAGTCGCAGCGCCCGTGCTGCCCGTGTTGGGGTTCATCGGGTTGGTCATGTTCGTGGTTCCTCGAGGAAACGAAGGAGGGTATCCTTCCATGCTCGAAGAAGTGCTGTGGCTGGAGGAAGAGGTCCGCGGAAGAGGGGCGGCGATCGACTTGTGGGCGTCAGGCGTCGGGGATGCTACGGACCTGCCGCTGGGGTTCACACGTCGCAAACTCTTTTGGGGACTGTTTTCTGTGGGAAGTTTAAAACCTCAGGTTATCCGGATTCGATTCGGTATTTCGACCCCCTCCCGGACCCACTACAAATCACAATAGGGGGTGGCTCACAAATATAATACACAAATCTAAATTCGCATGACAAATACTATGTACAAAAAAATATGATCTGAAATAGTACTACCTACCATCAGGACGTGAAGCACCCCGGGGAGGAAATCTTGTCGCTACGGAGTGCTGCGCCTTTGGTCTCATAACAATCAGCTCGCGGGTAGATCGTTGACATGACTTCGTAGAAACTACCTCCTACGGTTGATAGAGGCACTGTAGGAGACGTCGTATTGGCATCCCCAGCGGCGGCGGTAGCATCGTGATGGAAGGAGGCCAGCGATTCGAACGTCGACGATGGCGACGGTTGAATCCGGTTAATTATCAGGAGAAGGGGGCCCTCTATTAGTTTGCATAGGGCCCCTATCTCTTTTTCTCGTTTTGTTTACAAGCTCGACTTTAATACAAAATTCAAACAAAAGTGAGGGGCCCACTAAAAAACGGGTGAAAGGGAGGGCCCAAAACCTTGCTGGCACGCTCCCCGGCTTTCTCGTTTTACCGAAAGTTGATGAATGGAAGGGAGGGTCCATGCACCCAGCATCGCCGCCACGACGCGAAATAACTCGTGCGCAACTTATACAAGCAAAAGAACTCCTACTTGCGATAGAGAATACCTACATATATTGACCACTGCAGTGCCGGACAACCCTGCATATTTGGGTAGTATCCGATAAGGCGTTTGGCGCCGCAGCAGAGACTTTGCTCGTAACTCGTATCGCACTCGCGTGGCTTTTGCTCCACAGCACTTAACCTCATCTGACTTGGCCTTCCAAAGACCCGCCCACAGTCTCGTCTCGCAGCTTGGAACGGCGCGAGGCAGCTTGGTTGCACGTGGCAGCGTGTCGCTACAGTACACGCGCAACTTAACCAAGCACGGAACTTTGCTTTCGAACTTAGCGCGGACGGGTGGTAACGGGCAGCTTCGAACTTCGTAGCGACCCGCCTGCTTCGAATGGAAATAGTGTGAGAAGTATCCACGCTGAACCTCGATTCGTGTACAGAGCTGCTGCCGCCGCGTGGGCTTGCTCCAGCACTCGCCACGTTCGCTCGAATGGCACACGTCTCGTGCTCTCGTATTATGGGCGTCGTACACAATCGCTGCCTACTTATTGTGCCGTCCTAACTCCAGGTCTTCCTCATTGGATGGTCCCGACGAACTTTGTGGCGCATCAAGGGCGGGAAAGAAGCCGCATCATTCTGCAGCAATGGATCCCATAGATCCATACACCGGCATGGGCAGAGCACAATATCCAGCGATGGCCGCTCTTTTAGCACCAAGCCTTAGGCTCTCAAGACTGTGGCTCTTTGCTTTGGCGACGAAGTACTTGTTGCAGCGGCGTCCTCCGCTTCCTTCGCCAACCACTTTCGCATTGCAGCACGTACCTTGAAGCAAGCCCTCGTAGTTGTCCTGCACCAGCACTGCAGTGGCGATGGCGAGGGCTATTGAGAGCGACGGTCGCCAACACATTTAGAGGTTGCATATCCAGCTCGAGCCTTGCGCGGTTGTGTGCGACGGCTTCGAGCGGGCCTCGTCGCGTTGCATGTGGACTTGGACATGCGGTAACTAGTCTGATACGCATATCACAGTATTTGTAGGGCGGACCATATGTCGGCAGCAGCAAGACTGCATCGTTGGCAGCAGTGTCGGCCGCCTCTCTGTGCCGCAGTGCTAGTACGGTCCTTGCGCCTTGCTTGGTTGTCTGCTCGTGCTTCAAGCCTGTCGTCGCTTCCTCGATCTATCAACGCGCACTGTAGCGTCATCACTGCTGCCAAGTGTATTCGTTAGTGTCCATTTGCAACATGGACGCGTTCCAGCCGCCGAGCCTCGCGCACGTCAAGTCCAAGAAGGTCAAGGAGCTCGCGAGCCTCCGCTGGCAGCTATACGCTCTCCAGAACCAGCTCCAGCACCTCCAAGCAGCGACACGCGCGGCGCCATCAACGCTCTTGGCGTGGCGCGACGTTGCCAATGCGCTCCAGGACGATACCGCCGAGCAGTTGGCGACAAACAAGGCGCTTCAACGCCAGCGCCGGCGCTACCAACGGCTCTGCGACCACCTCCAGGCTTGGGTCGCCAGCACAACGCCCCGCATGGTACGACCTGCAATGCCCTAAATCGCTGACGTTTCCATTTGCATCGTAGCAAGCACCGAGCCCGTTCCTTGAAGGCTGGCGGCACTCGCACCTCTTTGCCGGCGACGAGGCCGCGCGGGCCATGAGCTACGACTGGCTCCTGCAGCAAGTCTACCACTCGACCGACCGCACGTTTGCGCCACTGCACTTTCCCAATGGTCGACACAATGCGATCGACGTGTCAGTGACTATCGAGGACGAGAGGCGCCTCGTGATCCATGTACAGACGCAGCAGGTCGTCCCATATACGCTCGAAGAGGTCTCGCGTGGGCTCTGGATCGCGCAGGACACGCTGTGCCAGGAGCTCTTTGCTTTGCCGGACGACCCGAGCACGCTGCTTTCGACGCCACACGACGACATTCAGTACACGCGAGAGAACGTCGGGCGCTGCATGGCCCACAACGTGCTCACCGGTCGCTTCCACGAGCCGACGCGGACCGTGATCTGCCTCCGCAGTATTCTTCACGACGATGCGTACCCGACTGCACCTCATATGTGGCGCTTCGACAACAAAGAATGGTACCAGTCGCAATCGAGTACACGTGGCAAGCGTTGTGCTTAGGAATGTGGTCGAGATGCTCGAACCGCGGCTCACGCGCGTTCGCACGTACTATACGATCGACCACCCGTGCACAGCCGAAGGCTTTGTTTCACTGCGGGACCTCGCTGCCTTGCGCCGCCTCGATTTACATGACGCGGACGACCACGCCCACCTCGTCGCTCGGCTCGAGCACATCTCGATTGATAAGCACGTCCAGCAGCGCCAGTTCTTCATGCAGCATCTCGAGCGCACGTTGCGCGCGCTCACGCGCCACGCGTCCCAAGTTCCACGCCGCGGGGTCCTCGCCGCCAGCAGCGCTTGCCCGGCCGTCGACAGAGAACGGGAAGAAGACTAAGAAAAGATGCAGTGTGAATCTCGCAACTGTTGCACGGGCCGTCCCATCCTCGTCATCTGAGTTTGCCGCGCTCGCCGACCATGGTACTCGTCGCTACTAAGTAGAAAAGCTTCAGATTGCATGCAAGGACATCGAGTACGAGTATAGAACAAGCTACCGTCGTCCTTCTGCATCCATGCCATGACGCAGCAAGGGTGGGCATGCCATGACGTGGCGCTCGGAGCGTGCGAGAAAGGAATCGAATATTCTGCCAGCTGCTTGCCCCGTCGTTATCAGGCAGCGTGGCCTATACAAACTGAGCGCGCCTTGGGCAAAATATTGAATATTCGGCCGCCAACACACAGCACTGCCGGATTGTGCTTCGATATGAATATATATTGCCCGTCCTCTGGCAACGACAGTTGCTTCACCACTTCGTCACATTCCGCGGTCATGGTCGAGGCCCTCGACGTGCTCGAGCATGTCAACGTCGTCTTGGCCGTCATCCTCTGCATGAGCGTCGTCGTCTACCACCGCTGCATGCAGCAAACGCTTGCCCGGCCGCCGGTCGTGGCTGCTTCGACCGACAAGCCATGCACCGAGCGCGATCACCGCCGCCGGACGCCATCGATCGAGGACTGGGACGTCTTGAACCACGTCATTGACGACCTTCTCCTCGGGTGCGATGCGCCGTCGCAGCACGCCGAGCCGCTCCCGCTCGTCGGCGAAAGTCTCGCGCTCGCCATGTACGCCGCCTACCACATCTCGTCCGTCGGCGTCTTTGGCCCGCCCACCGCCACCCACTAGCTAGCTTCCTCCTCTTCTCGTCCTCCACGTACTGCCTCGTAACCCATGTCAATGTCAAGGTCGTGTTATCTCGCATCGAGCCTAGTACCCGTACGGCTGCTGGCCCTGGTACGGCGGCTGGCCTTGGTACGGGCCGCCCGTGTGGCCGAGCGGCGTGTGCACCATAGAGTTGTGGCCGCGAATGTCGACCTGCTCGCTGATCGGCGACCCACGAAAGTACACGAGCGGGATGTTCGAGTCGGCGTAGTGCGCCTTCCACACATGGTTCGCATACGTGTCCTGCACGTACGACTGGCGCGGGTGGACCTGAGCATACTCGATCTCCTGGCCGGCCTCGTCGACCCAGGCAATGCCAATGATGCGCGGCGTGTTGTTGACAAAGACGAGCTTGATCGGCGCGCCGGCGCTGCCCGACGTGATCGCGGTGCACTGCGGCCCCACACCGAGCGCGTTGGGTCCGAGAATGTCGACAAACGTGGCCTCTGGCGCCGCAGTGTAGTAGGCCAGCGGCCCGTGCGTCGGCGTCGCAAGGAGCCACACGTGCTTGGCGTACGTGTCTTGCGTGTACTTTTGGCCCGGCTCGATGCGGTTGTAAATGGTCTCGTTGCCGTCGTAGTCGACCCACGCAATGTCGACGGGCGCCACAAAGCTGTTGATGAACGTCACTTGCGTCGGCGTATCGCTGTCTTGTGTCACCGTCTTTAGCATCCAGTTGACTAGAGTCGCAGGATCATGAGCTTAAACGATAGAAGACGGGCCATGGCTACCTGGCGTCGCGATCGGCGAGGCCTCGGGGTACTGGCCGCCCGGCGCGGGCACCGGGTACGCGGTCGCCGTCGGCACCACGTCGGGCTGCAGCTTCATGGCGCTCATTTGTGCGATCGGCAGCGCCACCTCCTGCGCCGGAGCACCGTACGCAGCATAGCTGCTCTGCTGGTCGAGAGGCTTGCCTGCGGTGCGGAGCCCTTGCAGGTGCGTAATTTCGCACGGGCCTTGCGCTACCGAGAAGCATGCAACGTGAGATGTAGAAAAAAGCGGTCGGACGTACCGTAGCCCACATAGTCGGGTTCGTTGGCGACCTGCAGGAACGCGACGTTGAGCGAGCCCGCAAAGCGCTCGCCGTTGCGTAGCGGAAGCGACCGGACGCTGCCGTTGAGGAGGTCGTAGAGCGTCGCGGTCACCTGCCCGATGAGCTTTTGCGTCGACTTTTCGTGGTGCACGACTTGGAAGAGGAGCGGACGTTTGTAGTCGCCGTTGCAGAGGCGCTGGACCGGCACGTTGCGCTTCTCCCAGAGCGGATTGCTCGTCTGCTTGTGGACTTCGGAGCGGAAGACGGCCACGTACGACCCATCACTCACGATACGCTTGATCACAAGAAGCCTACATAGCCATGGCGTGGTTTGTATGCGAAGCAACATTGTAAGGGAGCACGTACGGGTTGGGCAAGCCCGAGTTGTCGGGCCCCGGGAGCTCGGCACCAGCGAATTGAACCATCGCGACGTCCGCGTTCAAGCCAATGTACTCGGTGCGCAGCTGCAGCACCGCGCCAGTGCCATGGTCGTGGTGGCTCGTCAGCGGCATCGTGATCGGGTTGTTGATCTGCGCCGCAATGTCTGGCAGCGGCAAGACGATGTGGCCGAGCAGCTTCTGGCGCTGCAGCTCCGGGTGGTCTTCGTCGCTCTCGTGGTACAGCTCAATCTTGACAAAGTAGCCCTCATTGCCGTGCTGGGCGACGTCAAGCTTGAAGCTCTTGACAAAGCCGGGCGCGGGCGTGTTCTTGCGCACTTCGGTGCGCCCGACGATCGTGTCTACTTGCCTGGATGAGCCCACGCCGCTTCCAAGAGGCACGTACCGTTGAAGTAGACGACGGCGAACGCGTCGCAGCCGCGGGCCAAGCCCGTCGCGCTAATGGTCAGCTCCACTGGGGCAGTCGCCATCGCTAGTTGTCTTGTGGAGACGGAAAAAGATTTGTGGCAAGATTTCACTTCGTGCGGACCGACGCGACGGCTATTTGCACGCCACCTTGCGCATCACGGACCAATCAAAACGCAGAGCGTCCCACGTGGAATTCAGTTGCCGAGGTGCACCAGTAGCCACCATGGGTGGTTCTGCCCGCTGACTGCGACCTGGTTGTCGGTCCACACAAACTTCTTGGTAGTGGCGGTGTCGAGGCAGACGGTAGTCGCGGGGCAAACGATGAGTGTGCATTAGCACATGACCTCAGCGGTGACATTGCAATTGCGTGCAACAAGTCCTCAGCATCGTCTCAATGTTAGAACCATTTATCTTTATCTTCTCAATATCAGCATCCATAGAATCGGCAGCAGACGATTCGGAGATATACAGTCCGCTTTGCCCACGTGGCATCCTGGGCGTTGAGATGTGCGAATGACGGACAACGTGACGGCGCAACGTCGGGCAGCATGCGTTTACGTATCAACACATATGAGGATCCAGCACGAGAGCCAAAAAGATCTTATTGCTGCTTGCCATTCTGCATAGAACGAAGAGAGGACTCGACGAGATGCTCTCAGGACGGCCAAGCACAGGTGTGTAATTGAGCGCAAAGGGATCACGCGCGCGTCGTATTTACTGTGGGATGGCTTCGCAGGCGCGGCGTCGCCAGAGCAACCACGGGGGTGTAGGCGGCAATGATCACAAACTTGGCGTCGGTCGGTTCTGGCGTTGGTGGCGGCGTCGGCACGTATCCTGGCGGGTGCGTCGCGTCCTTGCACGCTTCAAACTCACACTGCAACGCTTCGCGCCGGTACGCGAGGAGGTCTCCGGGACAGCGTTTCGGCGCGCTGTCGCACTGCATGCGGGAGCCAATGCGCACGTTGGAGACCCAGAAGAAGTAGATGCCCACGGCGTGGACGGACGGCAGCGCCGCAACGTAAAGCCACCGCATCCTTCCAGTGAGGCGAGGAGTATCAGCTCGCTTTTGCACGTTTTGCTACAGCCAACTGACTCGAAGCCACCATGACCTTTCCACAAGGAGCATCACGGAGCTGCGCGTTTTTGCGTGAAGCAAGCGCCATTCTAAAGTGTTGCTCGAAAGACTGCCATGTGTTCCTCGCTCCTCAACAAGCTCAACAAGGGAGTGCGTCGACGCAATGGCTAGCGGTAAAACGCCCCTGCTTTCATCTGCTGATCTTGCCCTTCCATTCGCACTTGGCGATTGCGCGTGGCCTTGGCGTCGGACTTGTGTGTAATGAAGTTACGTTACCACGCAGAGGTTGGAAAGACCATAGTACGAGACCGCGGCCACGTCGTCGCGGCGCCTCGACACCTTTGGACTGTGATGTGCATGAGCGGTACTCGATGTGCAGTGGGCGCTACGAACGGGCACACCTCGACTGCAAGGCGCACACGAAAGCCGGTTGCGATATCGTTCGCTCGCGTGTCTCTTGGGCGCGCCGAACGCAACTCCATTTTCGCTTTTCCAACGTGGAGCTAATATGTGTGACGAGATCATCATGGGCTGCTGCGCGGCCATCTTTTGCTCGTCGGGGTCGTCCAAGCAAGCATCCCAGACGACGACACGGCCGGTCGACGAGACGCCCGCGGTTCCTATCGTTGTGAGCCCTGTGCCGGTCGTCAGCACCACTAGCCCCTTGCATCCGTCCGTGCCGGACATCGCAGCAGCCAGCGCCAAGAGCCCGTTGAACGCGGCCAAGGACGAAGGTACGAGCTCGTCGACCACCTTGTGCTCAAAAGACGCATTGCCTCCCACGACGACGACATTGTAACACCAATGGACGACTCGTGTGCTTGTTATCGACAAGGTGTACTGACGGTGGCAAGTGGACAGGACTAGTAGAAGAGATAGAGCGTCAAAACGCCTTCATCGTCCATGGACTGCAAATCGCGCTGTCATTCAACACGAGCACTGAAATCTGAGCGCCATGTTGCACCACGCGTGGCAGTCGCTACTAGTATGGGAACAATGCGTTTGCGTTTGGGCAATGATTAACCGTGTACCTATGACAAAGTTGTGCTGGACGGTAAACTAGCGGCTCAAGGTACTTTGCGTCAACCTGTCCTGTACCGGTACTGGTCAGTCGTGCGGCCACAGCCACCGACAGAAGGATTGCTTGACAAACGATATGAACGATGAGCCACCATAGTGAGCTAGCCACCGCGCGCTGTGGAGGTACGTATCATAGCAAAACTTGTCGGCAGCTGGCGTTAAGGGAGGCTTGCACTGAGGGCGCGTCTTGCCAAGAACAATTAGCATATATGTCGCCAGACGGTTTGCTAAAAACACCCAACTTTTTAAACGGGAAATCGAACCATGTAACTTTGAAAACGGACAATTTGATGCAAGCTGAGACTTCCTCTTTAACCCTTCGTATCTACCATCGACAGCGATCACCGACGAAGCAAGTCGATGTAAGGATCAAGTATTCTGGGCTGCTACAACGTGGCACCGAGTCCTCACGACAGAAGTACCAAGTTGTGCAAGTTGTGCGTACGTTACACGTTTAAACAAATTGAGACGGTGTCGTCATCGCTTGTCAGATTCGCAAAGACAGCCAATGCAGTGGCCAATCTCCTAGCGTAAACCTGTCACGTGATCGTGCGGACCGATGTAGAACGATGGACAATATTGAAAAGACTATGGTCTCTATTGAATCGCGTCATCTAACGTAATCGCACTGCATGCGCAGACATGTCCATTTGGTTGACGGCAACGACTAATCCCACGCAATCCCGTCCGTATCCGGACGTGTTTCGATTTTTTCCGGAAGATCGCGCGCCATCGGCCACACTCTGCGATTTGCTGTGAAGACCTCAGAACGTATGGGATACTGGGGCGACGTGACGTCGACGATCGACTGGTGCGAGCCCAACTACGTCTTCTCGCACTACGTGGCCGAATTCTGGAACACGATCTCGAACCTCTCGTTCATTGTGCTCGGCTACTACGGGCTCCAGCGGACGGTCGCCATGGATTTCGAGTGGCGCTTCGTGCTCATGTATCTCAACGTGATGGTCGTCGGCTGCGGCTCGGCGCTTTTCCACGGCACGCTCACGCACGTGTACGCATGTTGATTTCTTATTCCATGTCTTATTCCATCGCTAGGTCGCAGCAGCTCGACGAGACGCCCATGATCTGGTCGATGCTTATCTGGTACAACCTCGTGCTGCTCTTGGATACACGTATAAACCACATTTTCTAGGATTTACATTTTGTATGCACCCGACTGGCAAAACCAGAAGCAACTGGATCTGGGCATGCGCGCGCTCCTCATCAGTCTTGGTGTCGGATTTACAATTGCCCACGCGGTCTACTCGTTCGTGCTCGCGTTCCAAGTGCTCTTCTCGGGTCTTACGTTTTCGTGTCTCTGGCGCGTGCGCAGCTACTACGGCCAAATCGATTGCGTTGAAGGCAAAGGCCTCGCCAAGTCGTACATCCGGACTGGGTTCATCGGCGCGCTGTGCTGGCTCGTCGACTACCACCACTGCGACAGCTCGTTCAACTTGTACGGCCACGCGTGGTGGCATTTCTTCATGGGTCTCAACGCCTACTACGGCCCGCTCTTCATGCAGTACGTGCGCGCGTCGCAGCTCGACTGGGCACCCGCCGTCGCACCGGCGATCGCAGGCCTCTCGACCATCATCATCGACAAGCCATCCTGCCACGCCAAACTACAATGACGCGGTCTGCACTCGTAATAAACCCTCCAATTTGTATATAGTTTTCATGTGTAGGATATAGTAGTTATCTAGGGACCATATTACCAGCCACGCGCCGGCGCAGTTGAGTTCTTTTGGCGCGTGCAATAGGGCAAGATCGACATGACATGCGTGATCTCAAGGCGCTTCTTGTGCATGCTCAGCTCGTACGCGCACGCGAATTGAATCCACACAAAGGTACTCGCGCCCGAGAGGAGGTGCCAAATCGCGTGCAAATGCAGCTGCTTGGCCGACGGGCAAAACACTTGGTCGGCGATCCAGAGCACAAAGGCGACAACGAGCAAGGTAGCACTGAGCTGCAAAAGGCGCGTGTGGCGCACGTCTTTGCGCTCCTTGTTCATGGTAATGCTGCGCGCGATGAGCGAGAGCGTCTACACATGTATCATAAGCCAAGGAGCTCGCAAATACAGCAACGAACCAAAGCGATGTAGGCGATCTGGAAGATCAACGGGGCGTGCCCGACAATCGCGAGGACGACTGTGAGCCCCAACGCAATGAGAGCAAAGATCGCCTTGACGCCAGAGTGGTGTCGGAGGCTAATGTAGTGAAAGTACAAGGTTCCGTACATCATCGGAAGCTCGTCGAGAAGCTGCCCGGCGTACGTCAGCGTCGCGTGGAAAGCGAACGAACCGAGAAAGATGACGACGGGCACGAGGTACGCGACGCGGATGACCATGGGCTGCGACTCGTTGGCGTAGGCGACGCGTGACTTGTAGAGGGCGTAGAGCGCGAGGACGAGTGGCGGAACGTTGCTCCACGAGTTCCACCACTCGGCGATATAGTAGGACCACACGTAGTTGTCTTCGCACCTACTGCGACGTTATTGGCCGCCAGTACGACCGAGGGGGTTGTACCAGTCAATGCTGCTTGTCGGCGACCCCCAGTAGCCCCCAAGTGCTGTCATGGCGCTCGTTTTTCGGGCGGTAAAATGAATTCTGAGAGACCGAAGGGGCTTTCAACGTGATTTCCTATTTGTTGGCGATCGCAAGAGGTCCACAATCACCTACACGACAACTGAACGTATTGCGTTGCTGGGATACCGGTAGTATAGTTGAACGTGCATAGTGGATAATCCACACTATGCATCCGAGAGGAGTATGAACTATTAATTGTGCGGGGTGAAAAATATAATACAATAGAATAATAGAACTTCCACGGCAAGGCTATCAGATCTGGAGTGCATTCGAGTCATGGCGATCAAATTTACCAGTACGCGACGTCGACTAGTCTTATTTGTTGACATGGTGAGCAAAGTCAGGAACCTGGTCGATCATCAGGTGACCCACAAGGGCTTGCTCGTCCGTTTCGCCAACTACCCACGTGCACTTCACCACTGGACACGTCGTGGGCAATATATCGAGCCAGAGCTTCGGCCACGAGCTTTCTCATTGTCACGCTCACCTCTGCATTTTATCATGAGGCTGTACGCTGCGCGCTTGAAGCTGCTGTGGCCTCAGTACTCGGTGATTGCCTCCGCGACGACCTTGCTCAAGCACCCTTTTTATTTTACTACACCGTGAGTGTAAAAAATACAAAGATGATATTATCACACCCAAGAGAAATATCGAGTTTCGGGATATGCATTTTGGCTAGTTTGACTGTAGACAACAACAAACAATACCGTGGTGTTGTGTTGAAAGCTGACACTTGCCAAGCTTTTAGCACTAGGAAAGTATTTTAGTTGGGCGGCCTCTGATTCTCGATTGCGGTGGCACTACCCAGGGTGCTACCGCAGATCCCTGGACGTAGATCTGCGAATTGCGACTGGACGGGAAAAAACAAAATATGCAATCAACCGACGCTTCACGAAGTTGGTGCGCCGCACTTATCAACAGGCCCGTAAAAACGAGAGGCAATTCGCAAAGGATGCGATAGCTCCTAACATGCCCTCTGAAGAACGCGCCAAGAAACGCTGTTCGACTGACGCCCTGCGCTCGAAAATCCTTCCTCGTCTTCGCTTCTTATCCATCACGACAGGCAAAACTTTGAACGACACGAAGTCCTCTCAAAGGGCTTTTGGCCCCAAAGCGACCGTACTATGTATGACGCGAGTATACCTATGCGAGTACACACCCTGCGTCAGGTTACACGTCATAAAGGTGCAACTTTCGTGCACAAGTTGAGCCTGAATATTCTTTTGATTTTTCATCATCTCAAAACGTCAAATCCGCAGATCTTTGCTGATTCTAGGTCCCAGTATCTGCGAACGGTTTCTGGACGACCGATATTGGGAACATTCCTTGCTCGTGCCCAAGTACGAAAACGCGTTGCGAATTGCTGCGACGTGGAGCACAAGTCTTTGCTCTTGGCATGACTGATGACGAGACAAGGCGAGCCACCAGTGACCCAAACATCAAGCTGCCTCGTGGAAAGGCATTCGTCTGAAAAGCCTATCTCATGGTTGACTAAGATTCAACTTCGAGTACGTACTAGTAGTTTCGATACCTATTGGTACATACCAAAAGGCCAGTTGTTCCGGTTGACGGGTTTGGGTGACGTTGTGCGTGGGATTGAAATACGCGTACATGTACAGCTGGACTGTACCTGAGCAACGCCCCCCCTGCGCCAGCTCCCTGCGCCAGAGCATCTTTGTGTAAAGCCTTTGCGTTGGGTCGTCAAGGCTGTCTGACGTTTGCGCCAAATATTCATTTTAACGAGGCGTGGCTACCTCGGCCAAGTCCATAAGAAGAGCCACTCACGGGATACTGCTTACCAGAAGCCAACGACGCCCCGACGACAAGGCAACCTCCGACAACAACAAGCATACATACCTTCAGAAGCTCTATCATGGCGAGTGGAGAAGAAGTCCTTCAGCACTAGCTCTCTAACGAACGACTGGTCCCACCAGTACACAGGGTAGGATGCTTAACATCCGCGAATCTTGCGACGAGGACCAGTTGTAGAGTATTACTGTACTTCGTGAGCAAAGGCGACGAACGCACTCAGACCTTTCTCGGGGCACCGGGAAGCAGAGTTGGATGCTTATGTTTCGTTTCAGCCTCCACACGCCACGAGCCCGCCTCGGTGAAATTTGTCTTTGAGATTGTTCGTATGATCCGTCAAGCACATATGTATTGAGTCGCGTAGAAATGAATGAAATGTGCAGATATAAGATTAGTGTCTAGTCTATGGTCAATTCTTACAGCGTGACGAGGCTGTGTCGGTCGTCCTGAAACAAGCACGCCAGAATCGACGCATCGATGTCGTCGCCTCGGCAGGTGTCGCCACGCGTCGACGCGCTCTCGTCTGATGTCGACGGAAGCAAAAGAAGCATGTCGCCGTAGTCCGAGTAGAGCAACTCGTCAATCGACTCGGTGTCGTTGAGCGACCACAGATCGTCGGTGTACCACTTCGTCTTGCCGCCATCAAGCGCTTTGGCGTGCCGGCTACAGTAGCCACCGCTGCGGGCGTGCGTCACGCAGTCCGATACCTTGCATTGGCGGCGCCCGCCGTGTCGGACGCAGCGGCCGTTGCGGTTGACCTTGTTGCCACAGCCGTCGACAGCGCATTGTTTCTTGATTTTGACGCCGCCGTGGCGCGAGCAGTAGCCGCCGACACGAGCCGAGGTGGTGCAGCCTGGTTGAAAGCAGCGATGACGGCCACCATGGCGAACGCAGAGCCCGCGGGCGTACACTTGGTTGGCACAGGTTTCGACACTGCACATACCGCGGCTTTTGTGGACCGAGCACTTGGTGTGGCCAGGCAGCGGCGAGATCGCACACCCATTGAAGCAGCACATCGTATCCATGACGAGGTAAATTGAAAAATGACGAGTGAATCAAGGATCGGGAGCCGACTCCCGCTGTTGCAAAATGTACCACTGTCCTCGTAACCGTGGGACGCAGCAGACTGTTCACCAAAGCAGTGCGAAACACAAATGGACTCACCATGGGACGCATCTTTATCTTGAACGCTGCATTGACTCTACTAGCTCCATCGACTTGAAGAAGCGATGGAGCGGCAGCAGCGACTTCCTCTTGGGAGCCGAGCTCGCGAGGACGGCGAGGTAGCCGACGTCGACCGAGTGTGCTGGAGGCGACGTAGTATACGAAAGGAGCATGTAAAGTTGATGGGCATACATTCGCCCAATCAAAATGCACACGCTCAATACTTTTCGGTTGTTAAATGGCAGCAGATGGATTCGTGCAAGGGGACAGAGCGCCGCCGCCTGTCGTTGCATTAGTTGTTCAGAAGATGCTCGGCAACGCACTCATTCATTGAATGGCGCACGCGCATTACCATGCTGTTGACTTGTGTTGTTGGCGAGAATGTGGCTCGAATCGAATAACATGCAGTGTAGACCAGTGGAAGGCTCCTCAAATAAGTAGTATACGAATCGTAGAGAACAAACAAATTGGCTCTTTGAATTCCGAGCCCAAACGGCCCAGGAGTCGACTGACTGAACCATTCATGATGCCTCGGGCGATTCGACTCAAGCTGGAACGTTGGCACCTTTCTAGTCATTTTTACCAACGCTGGAACGACAGGAGTAGCATGCTACGGCGTGTCGAGGGTACGTGCCTTGTCATCGGCGCGTTGTACTAGTTGCGTACTCCAAAAATGTGTCACAATCGGATGCGGTCGCAGAT